ACTGTAACATTGTGAAATATTAAAATCTTTCTATATAATCTATACTCTGCAGCCATTACTTTAAGTCTTCAGTGTCACATGATACTTAATATGCTGACTCACTTTGATCACTGTAATGCATTCTTACTGAATAAAAGTATTAATTTCTTCCAAAAAAGGAAATGAATACATTTGAGCACAAACTTTTGAACGGTAGTACAGACACTGATGACAGTTTTATGTCGTCAAGGTGTCAAGTGTGTTCAAATGTTAGCGGGCTGAATGCTTTTTCTAGGAGAAACACAGTTGCTGGATTAGCTGAAGTTTGTAAGGTTCATGACATGTTTCATGTTTCTTAATAAAAGCGTTTTGCAAGAACCTCGATGTCCTGGATTGTGTTTCAAAGGCTGCCAACAAATTCCTTGAGCAACGCTGAATATTGGGTGTTTATTACATCCGAATGGAGCGAAACTCTGACCACAAAGTCAACAAACAGGTTTGGTTTCTTTGGTATCGTCTGCAGACCAGGATTTACGAGCAATTATTTCATTCGTTTTCAAAATAAGATGTGATATGCTGATAGTCCAAAGCCTATTTTTGTATTAATTGCAATCCTAAATGGATTTAATAATGATAAAAATCTCCAGACATGGAAACTTTATGGTAAAAAACACATCCCTAGCGCTGCCCATGTTCATCCAGAAGACAAAGTGTCTCTGACGACCCTCTCATGCCAAAGAGAGCTGCTCTCCATCAAAACGCTCGACTCGAGTTTACATACTTGAGCGAGTTTTGCTGAACTGTGTCTTGTATTACGCCCTCCTTGCATTAACAAATGTTATTTTCTGCAGCCTGTCCTGCCGTGAACTTGCGAAAGAATTCCCATCCAAACCGCTGTTTTCAATATTTAGTTCGACCGCTTCCACTGCGGATCTGTCTGCCACCTTATCTGACAGTCGCAAATTAAATTATCGTTATTTTCCAGGCTGTTAAAGGGTAAGTGCTCGGTTAAACACAAAACACCGAATATAAACAAAGAGAGAAAAGAGCGGCCCGAAACTTTCGGCAGCTCGGCATGCACTCGCTCACATCCGCGCAGGCAAACCGTGCCACTGAGAAGGCAGAGAGAGCGCCGCACATGAACCGGAGCCGCTGGGAAAACAATTACAAAGCCAAACAGCTCCGAGAGGGAGAAAAAATGATGTTCAGACATTAAAGGAGAGCGTGAGGAAAGAGAAACGAGCCCAGGCTAGGCCTCCTCTGAGAAGAAGCAATGCATACATCACAGGACGTTGTGTATCTATTCATTTACACACTTATATACACAGACGCACACAGTCTAGGAAAGCTCATTTTCGTATCCACAAATGTAACAGTGCTATGTGTTGTTTGAATAAAACTAAACTGTGTGGCTTTTTTAGGGGACATATTCGACACTTTTTAGCATTTTATTTTTCCCTAAAGTCTGCTTGTAATGATAGCAAAGGTTTTTAACATCAAAACCAGCTATTTAATTTTTTTTTCCAGTATATTTTCCACTCTCACTAACCTTTCATATCCATGACACAGCTGTTTTTGCTACTTAAAGGAGTAGTTCACTTTTAAAAACCTTTTGCTGATAATTTACTCACCCCCATGTCATCCAAGATGTCCGTGTCTTTCTTTCTTCAGTCGTAAAGAAATGAAGGTTTTTGATGAAAACATTCCAGGATTTTCTCCATATAATGGACTTCAATGGGAACCAAACGGTTAACGGTCCAAATGAGAGTTTTAGTGCAGCTTCAAAGGGCTTTAAACGATTCCAGACGATGAATAAGGGTCTTATCAAGCGAAACTATCGCTCATTTAATAAATAAATAATAACAAAATTTAAGTTTTATAAGCTCAAATGGTCGCCTTGCTCTGTTCTGTGATGCACGCTCGTGACTCTTCTGTTCGAACTCGTTCATCAAAATGAACTAATCTTTTCCCCGAGTGATTTGGTTCATTCAACGAACGAATTGACTGAATCGTTTAAAGCCCTTTGAACAGTTTGCAGTTTGTACTGAAACTGTCGTTTGGTTCCCATTGAAGTCCATTATATGGAGAAAAATGCTGGAATGTTTTCATCAAAAACCTTAATTTCTTTTCGACTGAAGAAAGAATGACATGGACATCTTGGATGAGTAAATTATCAGCAAAAGTTTTTTCAAAAGTGAACTACTCCTTTAATCTCGCAGAATTCAGAATTCATGCAAATTAACTCTGCTATGAAAGGCTAACACTTTACTAGAAAGTGCACACATCATTCATCAGGTAATGTAATTCTTATGCAAATGTAGGCGGTCTTACGTTAATGAGCTGATGGCAAAATCATGATTAGTTATGCATCACTTGTTTTCAACTAAAAACCTGAGGAACCGAGGAAGTTTAGACAACATTATAAATGTAAACTATGCAATGATTTTGTCCATGACATGTCACATAGACTGCAAGTAAAAAAAAAGAAAATTTAAATAAATAAAGGCCAGCTATCATGTTACACCCCATTTTTATAGCATCAAATTACTTAATTATTGGAACTTAACAGTTAATCTAAAATGAGAGAAAAATATTCAGAAAAAAATAATAATTTGAAGTATAATCGCATCACATCTCATTCGTTTAGATGACAAGGACAGGGTTTATCAGCTATCCACCAGGGGGACGATCAAAATATTTTGGCTTTAGTTTTCAGGACGTGTGCGGTACGTTTGAAACGTCCCCTTTAACAGGACAGAAGGTTTCTAAAAATGTGAAATGATACGCATGTGCTTGTTTTTCCTAGCTGGGTGTAATACTGCTTCCTCTGTACGGTCTGTCGTTTTCTGGTGTTTGACCCGTGCGTTGAATGGTGTCCTGTTGAGCAGCCCCATGCATACCGTCATAGCACTGTCTCAATGTGTTATGGCCATTAGGAACAACTCTGGGGCAATACAGAACGGATCAGGCACTATAATGGAAACTAAATGTTTCTCTTTCTGTGGCTTGGGAGAGCGCTTGGCTTAAAAAAAAAAGAAGAAGTTCATTGTGCCCCCGATGACTCTGAGAGGCTTTCAGACTCAAACTGTGAAGAGAAGCAAAGCGGTTGAGGCGAAGAGAGAATGAAAACAGCCAAAAAAGAGACAGAAACTATTACGAGAAAGATCGGAAAATGATAAGAACTGATCTTTATATTTGAGACACTCATTAAACCCGGTCTTTCTCCCAAAAAAGCAAGCACGCAACCATGACTTTATGACTGTAACCTGTTAATAAGTGATCTAAAAAGAGCTCTCTTATTTTAACCGAATTTTTCTCTAGCCTTTTAACGCATACCTTGTGTCTTTAGAGAGCCGTAATGTCAGTCACAACCATTGCTCATTAATTGTTTTTAAACTTGAAGCGTGTTTCGTCCGTTTTTATTTTGTTTTTGAAAGATTAATTTATCGGCCGTTATAACTGCCGATACAGATAGTTTGGAAAATGCCTAATATCGGCCGATAATATCGGCCTGCCGATAAATCGGTCTGGCTCTACAGTATACGTATACATTTTTTATCGTATTGGCGTTTTGTCCACACGGATCTGGCGTTTTGGGAGAGTGAAACCGCTATTTTTTGAAACCAGGTCCCAAAGCGGATAAATCTGAAAACGACACCCTTGCGGTTTCGTGTGTACAGCCAATCCATATATTTTGTGAAGCGATGATGTCATCACATCACGTGTCGGCTGCATCACACGCCATCTTCGTCTTCTTCTTCTTGGTTTGTATACACGGCAAGGTTATGCGCATGCTCAAAGTCGTCTTCACCGTGTATAGTGTATCTCTGTGGCAGAATTACAGCGCCCCATACTGGTCTGGCATATATACTACAACGTTTTCAGTCGGTTTCAGTGGTTTCGATATAGATATTTCTTGAGACGAAGCCGTGTTTACAGATTTTTTTTTAGAACGAGGAAAAAAAATTACAACCTTAAAAGGTCTTCCAGGATTGCTATTATCAGTCAAAAGCCACTTCCTGTAAACTATGAGTGCAATTCAAAGGGGTCCAGCTATTAGCTATTTAAGCAAACATAACTTCAGTTGTACTTTATAGCAAATGATCCATGTGCTTCTTTGGGAAACTTAATCGTAAAATAACATATGACACAAGTTACAGCGATTTTAGGAGAATGATTTGCAACATTATCCCTGGAATGTCCATTAGAGAGATGCACAACTTCCTGTTTTCCCAATAAAGGTGAGCTCACTGTGGGTTTCGTGCACTCAGACTATCCCTAAGTCAAGATTAATGAGGCAGCGGACGGGGGGCTTGTTTGTACAGCCTATGATCTCAGCGCAGAAGAACTGAAACTGATAGTCGGATGTGCCTGCGAAGCATTGCCTCATGGGTCACCATGGAAACATCATCTGACAGACGCAAAGAGCACGGCACGACAAGCTTGAAACGCGTCAGTGATGGCTTTGACTCGTGTGCCGATTTCTGTCAAAGTTTGTATATTGTGGAAAGAAGTTCAAAGCTTGCACCCTAAATACCGACGATGAAAAGCGATGTCGGCGGGAGCGGCGAAAGCTACGGCTTCCTGTATATCTGACGTGCATTTGAGGTAGAAGCAAACAGCTGTTGCATGGATATGAAAGATGCAGAACAGACATATAAACCCTGGCGCCCGCTGTTAGCCTGAGGTTAACGGCCTGTGTGTGTCATTTCTGAGAACAGGAGACTCCGCCGCCATCACAAACACAACTTTTCCCTACTTTTAGAAATCAGAAGGGATATTTGAAGAGGCTGGTTTCGTGCATTTCGCCAGAACTCATTAAACGTGGCCTAACAGTGCCATCTATGTTCAGGGGGAGGAAATGACATGCGTTTGAAGGGCGCGTCGATGTTTACGAATGCTTACGCAAACCGCAATGGTTCTGCTGGGATCCTTGAAAAGGTTTGTGTCGAACAAAGCTTTACTTGCTTCCAAAAGCATGAAACCATCGAACCTGAATTTTAAGATGCCACGGCCTTTACCTTTTTCTGCAGCACGTTGACCTTGCGTTCCTTGACGTCAAGCATGTCTTTGAGGTCGTGAATTTCTCCGTTGAGCGTTCCCTTCTCCTCGGACATTTCCTGAATCTGCTTGCTCTTTTTATTAAGCGTGGTCTCCTTCTCTTCCAGACGTAGACGGAGAGCATCGACCTGAAATGCACAGATGCAAGATGCATGGACTGACTCTTAACGTACATTAAAGTACTATTATTCATGACGATGTGCAGGAACACACTAATACTTGGCCAGTCAGGGGACATTAACCGTCAGCTAAACTCTATGAATCACATGCTGGCACTGGTAACACTGGATCATGACAAAAGGTGTGATGATAGACTAAGTACAGAATTAAAAGCACACACAAAGAAGCCATTCATGCCCCAGCAACTTCACAACAGCCCATTAACATGTTTGATACAACAGTGCCCCCTGATGGGCAGGCAGGGAAACTGCAGTAAAGAATGTTTTTCCCAACAAAAAAAAGACAAGAAACATTTATTTTTATTTTATTTGTTTTAATAAAGTTAGTTATTAATATGTATTCTCAGCATGTAAAAAAAATTAATTACTTTAGGGTGATTTTAAAAAAGCTTTTCTATGTTCAGAGTATAATATGTATTTTATCATTTATATTATTGTAGTACAATTATGTGATAAATCTACATTAGAAGTATGGTATTTGTAGTATTGATTAATAGCTAATTAACTGGTGTTTGTTGATTCTACACATTTAATTCCTTGCAAAACATTTTGTTAGTTATTTGTGTGATGTACATGGAAAGTTACTTTTAAAAGTAATGTGTCTGTATTGTGTTACCCCCTAAAAAAAGTAACCAATTACTTTTTATGGAAAGCACTGTGTTATGTTGCTTTTGTGTTACATTTGCTCATCTGGGCTGGGCTTCTTTGTTTTTTTTTTAATAACAAAAAATTATATTTTTTTTGGGCAAATGTAAAGGCCTTTTTACACCAAAAGTGAAATGAATAAACCTCAGGCTGAAGGATATGTAAATTCACGGCTGTACAGTAGAGGGCGCCGCTCAAACAAACCTCTCAGCTGTGCTGCCATTCTGCACAGCTGGAGAAGAAAGTTCAGCACTCTTACTTTAGCAGTAAAAACATAAAAATAAAACAAAATTATGATTAAATCTAAAGGCATTTTTGCTTATTGGTATGATTAAACTGGATCATCAAAAGTCAGCAGCAAAGCCATTGATTAATAAAGCGTCATTTAACATAAATATTGCAGGTTTGCGCAATATTCTGAGTTTACAGAGTTACTTGCATAAAAAACGCAGATATTTTGTTGTGAATTTAAAAGTAATACATTACTAGTTACTGGGGGGGGGGGAGTAATCTGATTACGCAATTAACGATACTTATAATGTGTTACCACAGAACATTGTTGCTGAATGAATTATGCTGATTTAAAAAGGTTCTTCCAACTCTTTTTGTACAAATATTAAAATCATTTTTATTTAGATTGATCTGCTTATGAATCATTCAGCCCACTTTGTAATCACGTTTGACAAATTCATTGCAACTCACGCAAAAAAAAAAAAAAATACGAACATAATGGTAGCACAAGAAAAGTTGAAAGAATTTCCATTCAAATGTCTACGTAAAAGCATTTAAAATGCCCTAATCCTGATATCCATTACAGTAGTTATCCTGGTTAAGATAATATAGATATCTAGCTGGAAAACTAGATGTGATTATGTCAGAATTGTGGCAATGACTGTTGATCTTGGGAGCAAGTGTCAAAACGGGGATATCAGTACGGCATACTTTTCCAATAAAACTTTTTTCTTGAAAGTCAACTTCCCATCTTTGTAAATTCTATTTTACTTTTATCCAGCCATGCTACTGATTGCGTAACTCTTACCTCAGTCTGCAGGATGGCAGCACGCTGTTCTTTGGCAGTGAGAGACTCTTTGAGAACATCGACGTGCTGTTTGCTGTCAGAAAACTGATTGGTGAGCGTCTCCAGTTTCGTCTGCAGGCCCAAGAGTTCAGTGTCCTTCCGGGACAGGTCCTGCTTCACCTGGTCAATCTGTGCAAGACAAACAGTCAGTCTGAATGTGTGGGAAACTCTCCAGAAAACCCCTTCAAGCCAGACCTCAAAGCTCTGGTGAAACACAATTCCCCTAAAACACCTCCAACGCAACAAAACAGGACGAAACCTGTAGTCTAAGATCTGATGTGACAACAAAAGTGAAATTTTGTAATTATACCAAGTGTGAAGCCTCATCTAAGGCAAATGAAACTTGCAAACTCGTTGAATTAGACTCCTCAAGCAGGCAGAGCATTACAAGGCTGTTTGAGCAAATAGCAATTCCTGTGAAGAGAAGCACTTGAGCTTAAATCATCCACAAAACACTCATGTTCATGCTTGCAAGATCCGTAAACACCTGAATTAGGTACAAAGTTAAGACACTATAAAACAGACAACAAGTGTTCATCTGCAACATCACAGTCCTGGCATTCCCAGCATGCACTGGGGCAGCTATAGCAGGTTAGCATGGCTTAAAGCTGTGACTCTACTGGCTGCCAGTCACCCTAGTGAAAAAGGCGTGCGCAGGCACAGGAGATGGAGAGAGAGAGAGAGTGAGTGATAGAGAGAGACAGACTCAAGCCTCGTGGACATTAGTGCTCTCAGCTCTACTCCAACCAGCGCTACAAACAAGAGGGAGAGGAGAAGAAAGAGAAACGGATGAAAAGTATCGTGGGAGTCTAGAGTGGCATCCGACCTCTCAGCACAGCACTGGGCGACTCTGCTTTCCTGATCAGAGAAACCTTGGGACACTGCCGCCCACTGATCCTGCTATTATAACGCAGGGCGGCCACGGAAAACGAGTCGAGACTTAGTCAAAAGCTAATATTTTTGAACAGTTCCCTTCATCGCCCTGGACCTTTTCCATCGTTCCCTCCTTCGCCCACCCTGATCATACTGTCAAGTAATGCTACTGTTTGTCTTTGTGTCCAAAAGCACTTTCCCCATGAGTTCTTTAGTCAGAGGAATATCATGTTCAAGTTGAATTTAGAATGGGAAAAAAGAGGTAATCAGTGTAAAAAGCCTGTAAGGATTAGAGCCCGACCGATAAAGGATTTTGAAGGCCGATACCGATACAAATATTTGTTGGTTTTAAAAGCCGATATTACGATATATCGGCCGATATTTTATTTTATTTTATTTATTTTTCAGAAACGCGGGACAAAACATTAACAGATTTCCCTTACATTAGTTATTTGTAGTTATTTACGAGTTTTTACGGTGTAGAGTGCCCTCTGGTGGACAAACTATACAATCCAACACTCATGACATGCTTGAAGCGTGTTTCGTCCTTTTTATTTTATTTTTGAAATATTAATTTATCGGTCATTATAACTGCCGATACAGATAGTTTGGAAAATGACCACTAATCAGAACACTGGGGAGATGGGATGCACTGATTTTACTGTAAAACTAAAACTATTAGAAAATGTTTATGGTAAACGAAATAAAGCTGAAATTAAAAAATATATATAAATATTACATACAAAACTTAAAAGGAAATTAAAGAAATATTACCTTGGCAACTAACTGAAACAATTATATTTAAGATGAACAAAAATACTAAAATTATGAGTGATGGATTTTTTAATTTACAGAACCTGGATTTCTGATTAGAAAATTAGAATATTATGTTTCTAGTATTAAAAAAAAATCTTTTACATTTATTTTATTATTACTTATACAATCACTATATACAACAGTATCAACTTCGACCATTGGGGACGTTTTATTTTTTTACACTGTGGGATTCTTTTCGCCCATTTACTCTGAGAAGGCAGCATAAATAATGTATGATAAAAATCCAACAACTCAGGGCCTCCGTAGATCAGAGATAATACACTGAATCTCTTGCAGAAAAAAAAAAAAAAACGCCCTAAGCTAAAGGGCCGGCCGGTCGGTCAGTTAGCGTGAACCAGAACCCTATCTGATGTCTGAGTGGCGAGACGTTGTCTCTGGTGAGGGAAGCAGAGCTGTGCGATTTCTAAGCCGGTTCTCTGGGTGTCTTACGGAAGAGACCTCTTGCTGCAGCTCAGCCGCCCGCTTTCTCAGCTCCTCGCCCTGCGCTTCGCTCTGCGCCAGCTCGTCCTTCAGTTGCTCTACCTGTCAGGAGAGGGCGCTGTTACTGCAACAACCACCAATCACCATCCACCAGCTCGCATGCACGCCCCACGGCCAATCACAAACACCACCCACGCTCACGTGATGCCGCCAGCGTTACTAAACCAATCAGCATCAACGCACAGGCCATGCGGTTATGATTTAGCTGCAATTAAATGTCATTAAAAAGGATATGGTTGAAAGGTAAACCGTTTCCTTAGGAAAAATATTATACATACAATTGAAAATATAATTAAAAAAAATATTTAGATCAAGATAAAAGTTAGTAATGATAATAATAAAGTTATCAAGACAACTTTGACCAGATAAAATGAAAATGTAGACAATTTTATGCTTATTTAGCATATCATATTACAGCAGCACAGGACTCTGCTACAATTCAACAGAAACCTAAATCTGCGATCAAATAACACACGACCTGCACAGGTTGTAATGCCCATGAGCCACAGGTTGGTTCTACCTTATTCTTCATGAACTTGGAGTGACTGCGGTAGACCTCCATCTGTTTCATCTCCTCCTCTCTCTCCCCTGTGCTGAGAGCACCGTTTGACTTGAGCATCTGTATCTCGTCCTCCAGATCCCTCAGACTGCGCTCCAGAGAACTGATCTTAGAGTCCTGCAGAGATCAGAGCGATGTTTGAGGACAAGGTGCAACACTTTCAGTGTCCTACCTAAGGAGCCTGTTGCTTCAAAAGAAGTCTTTCAATCGTGAAATCTAATGTACCATTTATGAAACTAGCGTTACCAAACAAAATTACAACATTTTCAAAAAGGTTTTCCTAACACTTCCTCATAAACCTAAAAATTACATTTAACACAGAGTTATTAAATAATACGTTCTTTTAAAGATTTAAATTGGGTGTTAAATGTAAAAATATGATAAATGAACATTCAATATTGGTTGAAAATTAAAATAATGTTAAAAACAGCTGATACCTGATACGGTATAGGTATACTGTGCATCTCTACTTTAATATGTGTTAAAATATAATTTTATAGGGAATGTGTCTACTTATAAACCAGACAAATCCAGTCATAAAAAAAAAGATCCAGTCATGAAATATTATGACAATTTAAAATAACTTTTCTATTTGAATAGATTTTAAAAATGTCATTTAGTTAAGTGATTGCAAAGCTGAATTTTGTGTCACGGGTCAATTTTGCTGCTCAAGAAACATTTCTTATTATTATCAATGTTTAAAACAGCTGTACTGCTTAATATTTTTGTGGAAACTGTTATAATGGTGTTTTTTTTTTCAGGATTAATTGAAAGTTCAAAAGAATTGCATTTATTTTATAAAAGAACAGAGATCTTTTATAAAAACTGTCCCTTTTGATTAAATTTATGTGCCCTTGTTGAATTAAACAATCTAAATAAACCCCAAATTATTGAAAAGTAGTATAAAATTACTGACACAACATGACAGTTTCAGGAATCTGAGTAGGTTTTATTAATAATAATAATAATATTATTATTTTAATTATCTGTTTTAAATTTATTCGTTTAGCTGTTTTTATCCAAAGTGACTTACAATTGCTATAGATGTCAGAGGTCTCATGCCTCTGGAGCAACTAGGGGTTAAGTGTCTTGCTCAGGGACACATTGGTGTCTCACAGTGGATTCGAACCCGGGTCTCTCACACCAAAGGCATGTGTCTTATACACTGCGCCATCACCACCCCATAGACCGTTTTAGAAAGAACACTAAAGTTTGGGATTTACTCACAACACACACACACACACTTGCCTTCATCTCAATGACAGTCTGCAGGGCCTTGGTTTTGGCAGACTCAGGAGCACCCTCATACCGTCTATGGAGATCCTGAGAAGAAAACATGAGACGAGGATCATGAGGTGAAACCACGGGATAATAACGGCCTCCTCTAGTGCCGGCCATCAGCTGATGAGGATCCATACCACCCCACATTATATCCAGCAAAAAATAATAATAAAACAACCCTGACTTCTGATTTTAGACAGCCAAATGAGAAACTCAGCACACTGATGTCGCTCTAACTCAACTCTGAGGCAGGAGAGACACTGGTTTGAGTGTTTTTGCATGACTGAGTCCTTTATGAAAAAGATAATGTACCGAGCAACCGACAAATAGAGTGAATGCAACGTCCACTAAACACAAAGAGCCTGCACCCTCCTCAAAATCATCATTCATACACAAAATATGGACACCAAAGGCTTCAAATATGAATGCACATGAAGAGCGAGCGAGAGAGAGAGAGAGATGTAGAAAGCTTGTGGAAAGCAGAGCAACGCTTCAGGGAATTTAATTGTTGAAGCTGCTGTTGCACAACACTCATATCTGACAACATTACCATCTATTCCAGGATGTTTTGACTGCTGCTAAAATAAATACAAATTCATTAAATTATCACATTTAGGTTTGAATTTTAATTACATTAAAGATATTTGAAGAGAAAATAATTGAAAGAGTGATTTAGTTTTACATGATACCTTTTCACCGTCTCTCTGAATTAAACAGGCACTGTACCTTTAAGAGTTCTCTATGCAAATAAGCCTTTATTACATCAACCTCTTTTAAAGTGCCTCTATTATTTTTTGAATACTATTGCTTTCATGCTGTGAGTGTTTGAGTTCTGCTAACTTATTCAGGTTTACAGAGTGATCATCTTGTCAAGGTTTTCGTGATTTTCGTTGCGCTTTGTGATTTTCGTTAATTTTCGTTGCGCTTTGTGCGCAAATGCTGCCTATAAAATCACAGCCTGATAAGGGCAGGAGACAACATGTCAGCTGCCCAAGCTTTTGGACGCAGCCATAGTAAGAGTTGATGGTGCCATTTCATTAACTGGCCACTAGATGTCCCTGTTGACAAAGTCACTAATGGCCATCTCAGAAGACGCCTAACAGAAATTCGAGTGAGAAGAACCAGACAGAACTCCTTTCAAAACTACCTAAACCACTATAACAGCATTGAATCTCATTCTGAGATGAAAGGACGCAAGGATGCATACAGAAATCAAACGATTCATCAAGCACATAAACTCGCATCCTTCTCATTCCAACTTAACGGTATGGTTGCATTTCTGTCAACATAACACGAATGTCTCTTATTTTACACATAAATCAAAAAACCACTACGCTAAAAGCCAATTGGCCAATTCCCACCCTTGACTCAAAAGCTAATTCTCTTTCATGTTAAGGATTATAAATTGAACAGCTCTATTATGCAACATATCTGACTTGAGAAATTTGCTGAACTTGAATAAACCTCACTCAGATCCTTCCTCAAGACGAACTACTAAACTAAATGTGATGAATGCATCTTCCACCACATTAACAGTTTCTGCACTCAGCAACATCTGTGTCTCCTTTCATCAACGTTCTTGTCAGTCTCACCCGTTTCTATGGCAACAAATGTTCAATGCCTTCAATTTGTAACAGGTTTCCCTCTCGGTAAGCTTGCTCGCCCGGCACAGTTTCAAATGACTAATCTAGAGCCCTTGATTCATCATCACCATAATTGAGAGTGCAAGCAAAAACATTTGCAAATCATCATCATCATCATCATCAGTGGAAAAAATGACCAAACATCTTCCCCAGAGCAGCTGTTTAATGTGTGCATTTACTGTTATTCAATCCACAACATGTTCTGAAGGCACTGGGTACAATAGGTCATGCAGTTTTGTAAATATTTTCGGTTTGCATTAGTTTGGAGGTTGCATTAGTGCTGTAAGATGGTCCTCTCACCTCCCTCAGCAAGACCGTGTCCTTCTCCCTCTGCTCCAGAAGGCTTTCCAGGTGATGGATATGCATCTCGGCATCGGCCAGCCTTCGCGTGCGCTCGTGGTCCTCCTCGCTGGCCTTGGCCGACAGCCCTTTGCTCTGCAGCATCTCCAGGAGCTTCTTGATGGACTCGTCTCGGGCGCAGAGCGTCTGCTTCTGCGTGTCGATGCGCAGCTCCATCTCTTCCAGAGTCTTCCTCAGGAGGAAGAGTTCCTTGGCCTGCCGCTCGTGCTCGCCGTGCAGCCGCTGGAAATTCTCCTCGGTCAGCTCGGCGCTCAGGGGCTCGCCGGGACCAACGCTGGAGTCCTGCTGGAACAGCTGGTTCAGATCCCTCTGGATCCGCAGCTCATCCTGGAGGGCCTGGATGGTCATCTGGAAATGCTGCAGATTAAACAAATGAAGAAGAGATAAAGTTTGTGTGAACAACAATTCTGGCTATATCTGGTATGTGATATCTAAAAAAACACACATTTTAATACAATATATTAGGCCTGTAAATTTTCTAAAACTTTATTTTAATGTGTCCTTGTTACAGTGTAATTATACAAATAATACTGAGTAATAGTAATTAACAACATGTACTTACTATACAATAAGGGTATGGTTTAGGGTTAGTTGTTTGTAATTATGCATAATTTACTGTTATGGCTCTAGCAAGTAAATGTGTAACAGGGATACTGTAAAATAATAGTTACCGAAACTTAAAAACAAATAAATACATGAACAAATACAAATAAAAGCAGATCAAAATAAAATAAAACATAAATAATGAAGAAATAAATTGAGTAATCCAAATAAAAATGAGAAAAATAAAAACAAATATATAAAACCCAAATAACAAACAACTAGAAACAAATGATTAATTGATCAAAATAAATAATACAAATATTTACAACTTTTAAAAATAAACAAATATAAATAAAAAAAAATAAATAGAAACAAAAATTAATTAATCAAAATAACAATAAGTAAAAAATAAAAACCTAAATAAATATGAATAACAGTTAAAAATATATATATATATATATATATACACACACATGCTTGTATATATTTAAGAAATATTTTCATGTATATAGATTTATGTATAATTTATATTATATATAAATATTTTATATATAAATAATATTTTTTTCTTAAATATACATGCATCTGTGTGTATTTATATATATCCAAAATAATTATACACGGTGCACCCACATATATTATGTAAACACAAACCTTTATTTTGGATGATTAATCGTTTGACAGCCCTAATATGCCCTAATATATATTTATATATATATATATATATATATATAAACAAATTTAAATAAAAAAACATAAGTAAACGAACACGACCACAAGCAACTCGCCTTGCCTTTTTTTAGACAACCATGGCATGTCAGGCTAGGATACTCATATTAATAATTCTCTTTGACCTTGTATGACTAAGTGAACACTACATCAGCCGTAAGGATCTACTCGAGACACTGACTCTCGGGGGGATGGAGTGAGTTTTCAGGCTCTAAAGACAGACGGCTATTACTTCCACCTGGAGCAGATCTCTAGAGACCCGGAGTAAACACAGGCCACTCTGAACCACAAGTCCCAAAGGACAGGGACACATGCTATCCGTCTATCTCAGAGAGGACCAAATAAGCAGTTTACAAGAGCTACGCTGGAACAAGGAGAAGGTAACTGAAGGCGTTTGGGAACTGAGAAGGCCAGAGGGCATGAATTTAAGAATAAATCACTGGTTACAGCGCCCTTTTCTTTAACACTGTAGGAAAACGGTACAGCCAAAAATAGGCAGTATGATGCAACAAGACTGAGGGTGGTTTGATTTAGGCAGGTATGAATATGAATAATATTATATTTTATACATGTTTTAGTCTGCATACAGCAACAGGTGCTCCTCCATGAACTAGTGATGTGAGGTAGAAGATGCACTGTTCATTTCCTTTTTAGCACGATAAACCAATGAACATGCTTTCAACAAAACTCCTGCTTTTGGCACACACACGACACACACACAAATTAAAGCATAGTCTAATGAAAAAAGTGAATCATTGTCATCAGTAAGAAGCTTTGAATTATACACACATACAGAAAGAGATGGCTGTATTACATTACATTGACTTAATATTCTCAATATTTTCTGATGGCACCACAGAGACAGGACTCTACATTATTCATTAGTCTCCTCTGGCTGCTGTTATCTCATTGTGTGTGTGTGTGTGTGTGCGTGTGTGTGTGGAAAAGAAAGAGTGAGAGAAAAAGACAGAGGGGAGAGAGGTAGGGACAAAGAAAAATGTATAATGTACTTGCAAATTAATATGTAAAAAGTAATAAATGTAAAATGATTAAAAAGGGTAAATATACAAATAATAAATACATGAACGAATAAATAAATGTAAACAAGAATAATAAAATTAAAAAACAAATATAAATACATAAATAGATTAATAATAAAAAAAAAAAGTTTACAACTACAGGCTTTGAATTGAAAACGGAGGTGGAAATGCAGAATTGTAAATAAAATTGTATTTTCCAAAAGTTAAATTAAAATAGAATTAAATAGGCAATGATTCCTGTTAATGCTTTTAACAGTTATTGGTAATTGAGTGTAATCTTTATTCATTAATAATATATTTAATATTGTGCCTAAAGTATTATTAGACAGATGACAATAGATAAGATAATGCACTCTATTTCTCTTTTGTATTATATCTACTATAATTTTTCTTCTAAATGGCAGACACAGATATTATTTTAATTTAAGTTTATATTCATAGAATTATGACTACAGTCCACAATATTAAGGAATTTGCATTCAGCCTCGAAGTTTTAACTGTCAAATAATTTGTATTTGGATATGTTTGTCCCTCAAAATATTCTGTTGTTTTTGTTTTATATATAATATTTATAATATATATAATATTTTATATTATATATATATATATATATATATATATTGTTCATTGTAGTTCAGTTTGTTCTGTGAAAAAGCAAAAACATTCAAATAAATGTGAAAAAAACTGAATGAAATTCATCTAATAAGCAGACCTGTTTAACTGTTATTCTGACTTTGTGAAAGGCTTAATATGAATCATCTTTCAGATTGAGACCAGATTCATGCAGTGCTTGTGAAATCCCTTCTAAAGAGCAAGACAAAAAAAATCAATATGAAGTATCAGCCGGCCTTTAACTCAAAACGAAAAGGAATAAAGCCTTTGACAGGACAAAGCAGGGATCTAACATCTTAAATCTTCAGTTTGATCCTTTACTTTATGTTAACATAAAAGTGCCATGTGCACTAAAGAAACCTAAGACAATCAGGCACATGGTCGAAACAGGTGAAAAGAGGCATATATTCAGTGATAGACATGAGAACAAATTGCAAACAAGCCTCCATAGTGTAGTGAACAAGTTATCATCAGCCCTGCATGCTTTGCACATGTCTGATATGATGATCTCATATTAAAAAGTCAGAACTCCTCCAACAGGCCCATAAATAAGAGTAGATCCCGATCAGACACAAATATCAGATCGATAGCAATATCAACAAGCCATTTATCAGACTTAGCAGAGGTTTGGATTTCTCACACACATTGATAGCATCTTGCGCAATTGACGTCTTTTCTTTCCAACCCATATCAAGCCACATCATACATCCTTCCTGGTGGAAAGGTTTGTCCTATCTCCACTCCTACACTTCAAGCAAATCTTTCCACCCTAAAGGCACTGGGATTGACATTTCCTGCAGATATTACATTTAAATACACACAGAGGCGCCCTGCTTTACCACATCCACCCTGAAACATAGATGGAGATGGATCTCTTCTTGTTCCAGGTGATGAAACTTTATTTCAGAGATGCTCCGTATCAATGTTGATTTTCAGAGTGAAACCATCAAAGAATCAGGCATTACAAATTAAAAACAATTCATTCCACAGGTCCACAGGTAGCACAATAGGGCATTAGATTAAATTCAACTATTGTCTATTGTCAATAGTGTACTGATATATGAAGCATAAGTCCCTTTCAAACAAGCAGATGTCCATTGCTCAATACAGTGAATTTGCATAATCAACAGAGCCTGATGCAAAATCCTTGCCCTCACACAAAAATACAGAACTCATGGATACTAGATTCCACACGAAAATTAGCCAAACATCGGTAAATGTGATCACACCATAATGGAAACAAAATGAACATCTTCAAGCTGCTGGTGGGGTGATTTTTAAACCTGAGGCCACTTTTATTTCACGTTGGTATAAACTTTTATCGCTGATGCCAGCATTTGCACTTCCCCCAAGACTGACCGCACAGAACACACACAGTCCGGACAGTGTGATGGACAGCTGCGCTCAAGAACCACTGATACAAGTCCATGGCCTGAGGGTGGAGCTTCAGACTGATAACTCACACAAAGCTATCGATCAGCCTCGGGCCACACCACAGTGGAGAAAAGCATGCTGTGCAGGACAAGACGGCCAAATGGGTTTGTTTCTACAGCTAAAATGTTGAAACCATTCCTACCAAGTTGGCCAGCTGGACACGAACACCTAACCCACCAAAACACTCAAAACTTTCAGGGGGAAAAAAAGGTACAAAAGCTGTGACAGTGGTCATACATTATCTAAATATATACCTTTGTACCTTATTTACCCCTAAAGGGTACATATTACTACCTTTTTGAAGGAAGGTTTGTACCATTAGCATTCCCATTCATCATAGTGGAAGCTGCAGCAGGAGCTAACATCTTTCGATTTCCCTCCACGTGTTTTTTCTTTCCTTTTTTTTCTCACTAGAAGGATCGGTCTATCCCGGTCCAGCCCCCACAGATGGAATGTTTTCAGGAGAATGCCAAACCACAGAATGCAGCGGAGAAGGGGAAAAAAAGTTGGCCGAGGAATCCACAGGATATTTCAACTGCGATGGGATACTTAGAAGCAGCCCACAGTCTTCAGAAGACTCAAAATGAACCTAAATTATGGATAGATGAGAAACGATGGGCTTTGTTTTCCTAATAACAAGATACAGAGAGGCTGTAAACTCAAACATGTGCCACCTCTGACCCTTAACAACCTTCCAGCATTCCATGAATGTTAGTTGGGCCGCCATGAATGACTCGAGCTGCTCGGCCAATCAGCACAGACTCAATCGGCCCGTCACAATGCTTTGCGCTGCCTTCAACTAACATGTTCCAGAGAACAAGTATCCCACACAAAAATGCTAAAGCCTCACCTCCTTTTTACACAGCACATTTCATGGCATACTAGTAGGATCCAGTTTGGTTAAGAGACATGTTTCATCTTACAGAAATAACCAGAATAAGTCAACTTCACTTTCATGAGTATCGAAGAAGATGATTGACATGCATGCAAGTTAGGAAA